GTTCATGGGGTCACGAAGAGTCGGACACGACTTAACGACTAAACAACAACAACAACATTTGCCAAGGATGAGCTTTTCTTTTTCTATTTCACGTATGCCCAGCAGATGGAGATAGAATATAGTACAAACAGCCCACGCACATTATATGGGACTTGCTTTCCGTTCCATAAAATACTGTAGGCAAGGGTGAGGCTTTATCAGACCTAGTAAAATACTTAATTGAAGTTTTCTTGTAGTTAAATACCTTAATCCTGATATTGCATCAGACTGAAGCTGGCAAGAATTTTGTGTTTATTGATAAAATTATTCATACATTGTAGTTTTCTCATTGGACAGATAAATACACATTTTTTTTCCTATACATTCAGCAATCCTTATCTCATTTTTTCCGTCACTGTATTACATTTTATTTTGATGCTGAAGAATTATCTTCAGAGGATTGGTATGATGGTTCCAACATAGATGTGTAAGTCTGTGTCCAATATTTATGAATGTATCTGACATAGTACAAAACAGATTACACATGCAGGATATTCTCTGGACGATTTTTTTCATCCAAGTTTTTTGCCCCGATTGCTTGCTTCATAGTCTTGTTTAGAACTTTAAATGAATCAGTTGTGCTACCTGTAGTAACTTTCAAAGAATCAGGCAATGTTTGGCAGGTAATAGAACCATTAAAATTCGTGTCTGGCATTCAGTCTAATACATAATATGTTTTTAAAATTATTTGGAAGAGGTAATTTGGAATGTATGGGAACATAAAGAAGGTAGCTGATTTAGTGGGTTGACTCATTAAAACAGCTGTGTCTTTAATGTGACTCCTTATAGTAGCTGCATTTGCTTTTAGCCTTGTTTAGAAACCTGAAAAAAAGACTTGCACAGATTTTGAAACACCTCTTTCTGATCATTTTGCGGCATACAGAACTCTAATATCTAATATCTAAAATCTTTAGAGCAGTGAAATTGTCAGTAGAAATTCTGTGATTTTGCTGCTAACATTTTGTGAAAGCCAGTAATCACTAACGTGTCTTATTAGCATTTGAGAATACATTTTAGTTTGTGGACAAATAGTTTGTATGAAAAATATAGCTTATAGAACCAGAAATGTTTTCAAGACCATCTAAAATTCCTGCCTCTACATCTTATAAGATTGGTAAAAGGAAAAAAAAAGTAAACGTCATTTTTTTCTGTGATATGTTTAAAATCTGCTGTCATTCAGAAGTAAAACATATTTATTTTCTTGTTTTGTTTAGGCTTATGGAATCTTGCTTCCCTCTTTTCCAATCTTTGTTTGTTTATATTGATGCCCTTTGCTTTCTTCTTTCTGGAGTCAGAAGGCTTTGCTGGCTTAAAAAAGGTGCGTGACTGTTATATATTAGGTGAATGGGATATCAGAAATACCATGTGATTACCAGCAAAGCTTTATTTATTAAAAAAGGGCAAGCTTTTAAAATCTATGCTAAAGACATTATGTTTGAGCTAAATGATAATAGTATTTGATTTTTACAATAATTATTTAAGTAGTAAAAAATGATAATGAAGTAAGAAAACATGGTTTACATTCAAGTTATGAACAAATTGCAACTATTTAACTGTTTTAGTATGGTTTCTACTATTGAATAATACCGATGTAACATTTTGAAAGAGAAGAAACAGCTGTATAAACATGGTTTATTAAATAGTGACAGCATTCAGATTTTAATGTATATTAACTTGAATAATAAATTCATGATACACTTGTGATTATTCCATAGCAGTTTATTCAAAATGCAGTCAGGCTCAATTTGATCCTATTTTTCTTTTTCCAGCACTCATTTAACCTTGTCAATTATATTTTCCTGTTCCATTTTGATAATATTCCAGAAGGTCTGGTTTATCCTAGTTCACTGCAAATGAGCAGTCTGCTGATGCAGTACACTGTTTGCTTCTCACCTCTGTCCTTCATGCAAGTAGATAAAATCAATCAGGAAGTCTTAGTTTATGGTAATTCCCAAACTCAGATGTCTGATTTGGGTTTCTCAAACAGTCCAGTACCCATAAAGCAACAATAAATCTTATCAGTATACCTTTATTCTACTGTTTTCTGAACATTTGGTTTTCTGTAGAAGTTTGCAGTTACATTAAAAAATCAGATGATTAGGTAACTGACTGTAAGAAGCCTGGGAGAAATCTAATGTGGACTCAAAATTATCTATACTGTTAAGCACTGATCATAGCAAGAACAGTTGGAGATAGGGACGAGAAGTCTTCAGATATTCTTTCTTCCTTAGCTATCCCTTATCCTTGCCAATAGAATTAATTTTTATTCCATTCATGAAAGGAATTCTTCAGAAGAATATGAGAACCATGCTGGATCTCTCTAAAAGCACATCTAGTTCAGTATGGTGTTCTGATAGAACACCGTACTGAAGCCCACAAGCAGGACATGAATGGAATGCAATCGTCCCACTCATGTTCCCCCAACAACTGGAAGTCAGGCATCCTGTCCCTGATAATGCAGATAATATAAGGAGATTTTGGTAGAGACTAGATGCCTAGCTATGTAGGTGGGTAGATACAAATCCCTTCAGATAAAGTTGGGCTCTAGGGAAAAACTAGAGGTACTGCTGATATACTGGCTGTCCTGTAGCTTGACAGTATTCCATCCTGGGCTTTTCAGTCTTGTCTTTGGATGATTGATTTCCCAGGACTATCGGTATTGGGGACTTTAATCTCCCTTCCCTTGGGGCAAGGACCCATCAGATAGGCTTGCTATCGAGCCCATACTAAATTAGCTTGCTTATCAGAATGTCATGAATACTTTCTCAAATGCTTTGTTGAAATGAAGATTAAGTTCTCATCATTCCAATAGACTCTTCAGTAGTCATCTGATAAAAAATGAGAGATTAATTTAGTAAGATTTATCCTGGATGAATTTATTGACTTCTAGTAATCACTGCACATTAAGCTTTTTCAAGATACAAATTGCTTTATGATCTGGTCTAGAATCTTTCAGGTAGTGAGATCAGATATTGGTCTGTAATTCCCTCAGCCCTTTCCCCTTGTTTGAGTTGTTAATTTTTTCAAAGAGGAGCTAAGTAACTTGCAAACAAGTTTGGGTATTAATGTTCCTATACTTCAAACCTAGGTTTTACATATTTTCTGTGAATAAATTCTGGTTATAAGTAAGATAAAACAAATCTCCACTTACTTGTATTCCAGAGAAGTTTTGTATTCTGTTTATTGTTAATTGCAGGTAGATGATTAGTTAGTGACACAGAATTAAGACTGAGGCAGATATAACAGCGCAGCACCACTAACCATGATTAGGTGCCAGTGATCCAGCTGAAGAATGTTTGTTTCCTTCAGGTTTTCTCAGTGCTACCCCATGTAGTGTTAGCTGTAGGCATGATTTTTGTTATCTTCACAACGCCCTGGAAATAAATGTGGAGAGTATTAATCATGCCAGGGTTTGTGGAAACATGATTTTCTTTGAATTGTTGTTGGGAGAGGGGATATTCAATGCAGAAAGGAGTAAGAGAAGAGAGGTGTTTTAATCTGCAGCTTTTTCTTAATATTTTGGTCTACAGTTAAGGAATTGTGTTAAATTTGCAGAAATTAAATATGCTTCAGGGGTGTCTGGGGGGGGATCAACAGCATCAAAATGGTGGGTGCTTCCATCATTTTAATAGTGTTCTCCCCCCTTCTCTCCCTGGAGAGCCCTAGATACTCTGACTCTTTATGGTAGTTGTCTAATAACATGCTTACTGACATTATTTTTCCATATGCAAGTGCTATATGTAGTACAGCAAATGTACTGTAATTTGTTACTGTAAAAATGGCCTTGATCATGGTTATGCCTATTAGATTAATATTGTTGGTTCTTTAAAAAAAAATTATTTTCCCTTTGTCACTAGCAAATTTATTATGAGTTTTTAAATACTAACTGATGGCATTTGTTCATAATAGCATAGGGTTCTTCTAGTAGCTCATATTGATCCCCTCTGGCAAACATTTTTTTAAAAAAACTTTTTATATATAACCCAAGATAAAGATATAGAAATTGATCACTCATCATGGATAGGTGTAGAGTTTGCTTGAAAAATCAAACTGAACGTGATTCTCTCTAGGATATTAATTAAACCATTCTGTTAATTCAGACAGGCTATTTTGGGCCTAAGGGGTTAACTTACACTCTTTTAAAAAGAGACTTAAATGTATTTTTTCCTTAGACCACTGTTTAATTTTTATTGGACCTGCAGTTTTTTTCTATGTTCCTTCTTGTAAATCTAGATAGATCTATCTTCACTGTGAATGCTTTAGTAATGCTTCTTGTTAACTCTTTTAAACTGTATTATAGCCTCAGTGGTTGACAACAGCTTCAATTATATAAATTATTTTCTTGGACATATTTTTTAAGAGTTACCATTCAGACCCACGGTGTAACCAAACATTAAAGAGAGTGCATATAATGTGTTCTTACATTTTTATTGCTAGCTTATTTGAATTTTATTATAATGCTTTTATTTAATACTTCAAATAGTTCTATTTGACCCATTGTGTCTATCGTATAAAATGGCATCTGATTGGTTGGTGTAGGGCTTAGAAGCAAGAGGAGAAAGGATCTTTGATTGAAGGATTGTTTTGTACCTCATACTAGGTTATTTGGCCAAAAACAATGAAACCGAATCAGATTTCTTTTGCCTATAGAACCAAAAGCATAAGAATTGCTATATAAACATAACTGTTATGTGATGGGAAGACCTGAACAAGTTCTTATGGAAGTAATTTTGAAACCCAATTGTGCAAAGCATCCAGACATCTTAGTGTTTGGCACCCAATGCAGAAAGTCTGTGGATTGAGAGCTTAACCAAGAACATCAAAAGAGAATGCTTGATAATAAAAGCAAATGGTAGCGAAATTTTTAATTAATTAGGTAGGCCAGGTGGAAGTGAAGAGGCCCGTCTATAAAGCTGTAAAGCTGAGCAACATGACAGCACAATGGAGGAGGAACAAAGATTGTTTTAATATACTTCTATCCTGTCTCACAGTTTGAAATTGTCCTGGTTTATGTCCCTTTTGGCAAACTTACATAAAAGTGACTGTGTACTGTATTTTATGACCAGATGACTTTCCCCCCTTTTCTGGCTAATTTGTATCAGGTCCCCAGTATTAAAGAGACACAGAAACGAGTAGGAAGTCGAAAGCAGTATGTCTCGAGGACGCTTCATTGCATTCTTTCATTAGGTTTTGCTTGTTTTTGCCACTGATCATCCATAAATTGCTGGAAATAAGTGATTAAGGAAGTGCTGCTTAGTGTTAGTGGCACATAGACGTTCATGGTAACGCTTTTTTTCTGAGTGAAAGGAAATCAGATATTGCTGAAGCAAAAAGGAAGAATCCTGCTGGGAGCTTTTCATGGAAATTTAACTTGCATAATGTTTTGATCTTAATGTTTGTTACAAAAACATACAGCAGTATTTCACCAGGTGCTGTGTGTCAAGTATTAACTCCATCACTGCTATCTTTTCCACATTGAATTCTTAAGATATTTTTGTTTAAAAATGAAACTAGTTGGCCTTACTTCTTAATATGCAAGTGAAAGTTGCTCAACAGACATATTTATGGAAGCACAATGCATAAAATTAAGTTAGCATTTCTAAAATTTATCAAAACTGTGGTGAGCAACAAGGGGCTACTTCACAATGTACATTTTAAAAGCTGCCATTAACACTGCAAATTGTCTGCTTCATAATAGTATAATTTTGGCCAATTCCTCCCCTCGCCCCCAGCAGGAAAGCCTGGTCCTTTAGCAGTGAAAGGTATTTTAGTTTTGACTAGTTTGACTATTGTATATTCCCGGGTCCTGTCTGTGGGATTTTATGGATTATATAATTTTTATTTTAATCTGAGTTTACAGTGGTAGAATTGTATGCTGCTTAGTCCTATAAATAAATAAAATAAATAAACTTCTTCCAAGCAGAATTTTGGGTATTTTTTTCTACACATGTGATAAAGAATAATTTACACTGAAATTTTTATCAAAAATATATTAGTCAGCTGGTTGATAATTTGAGATAAGACATCTTGATATAGCTGTTATTCAGAATGACAGATCTATGCCTGACCTGTAATACAGATGTGTGAGACAACAGTCTTTCAGAGAATAGCTTCTGGTGTATCTTGAAGTTAATTTGCTGCATTATATAAAAGTGCCACAACATTCACAGGCTTAAAAATGGATGAAAATGCACACACCTTAGCTGTGTGATTGTATTTATTGGCAAAGAGAACCATATTTAATTTAACTTTTTAATATAGCTTAGTACAAAAATGGACTATTATGCCAATTTTTCTTGTGTATTTTGACTGACTTTACATTTGTCTCAGAAGTATTGAGTTGGCACAGTACTCTCATTTGTGATAGACCATTTGCAATACATTGTTCAGTAAGAACTATATAAAACATTTTGTTTCTACAATCCTGAAATCTCCATAGAAAGTCACTTTTAGACATTTTGAGCAATACTGTCATGAAGTAGGTAGCTCTTGATGAGGATCATTCTCTTGATTAAAATATGTCTTTTTGAAGCAAGTTTTTTGTTTTCCCAGAAAAAAAAATGCTGTGCAAAGGATACTAGAGTTTTATTGGGCAGAAACACAATTAATTATTTTATCTGTGCTTGAAAGTCAGTAATAACCATAAGCTACTGTGAATATTGGCTCTCCAACTATCCTTATTGAGTATAGTTTATTGTTTATTGCATTTACTTGGCATTTATGCTTACCTTTGTCTATTAAAATAATTCAGTAGAGGCTGACATTTTAGTGCTCTGGTTTCAGTGAAATGTTTATTGGTATGTAATTGAATTGTGCTACATTGTACTACTGTACACACTGTTAGTAAACCAGAAACAAAGAGTTTTTAATCAGTAACATCAACGTTTTTTCATTACAAAAAAACCACTATTACAACTGCTTTGTTTAAAATAGTACCTTCATTGGCATAGGATTTTCTTTGCAAGTAGGAAGTAATGCCAGTTATTAAACAAAAATAGAAAAAATGCTTAAGTTATAAAAGACATAATATAGTCTTGCAGCACTATCAGAAACTTTAGGGTTGCAATTGTAAGAATAAGCAGCACAATTTTCCCACTGTTCTTCTAAAAAATTACATGAATCTGATCTTAGGTCTATCCCTGAGCATCCTGCAATCGCTATACTTGGTCTCCTTTTCTAAAAGAATAAACCATAGAAAATAAATCTACAAAACTTTACATAGTGTTTTCCTCTAAAATTCAAAAGCATAGATATTTGACTTATATACAGACTTAGCTTATAACATCAGTAGGTGTTGGGGTAGAGAGGTGAAAGGGACAACAAGGAGAGCAACAGTCTGAAATATGGCTAAAGAACGGTATCGGTGCCGTACAGGGTGTTTCATGGATAGTTCTGGTTCTTCACCTGTTTCTCACATTTCCCTGAAGTGATTCCCTTAATCAATTAGATTTAGAAATATAACATTAAAAATGGAGATTATATCAGTTCCTGATGTTCATGCTGCAAAGAGAACTTATAGATGAGGCACCTATTCTGATAAATAGCACTGGCGTTGATAATGTTTCTTTTTAATTGTAATAACTCATATGACCTCTAATTTCTATATGTCATGTTTAACTGGAACAGAATGGCTTGGTAGCAGTTATTGGCATTGAAGTATTTGTTTTTTCATGAGGCATGCTATGTAAATACACAATTTATCAACAGTGATACAACTGACATGTGGATACTGTTGACTCTAACGTAAATGGTAAAACCTATGATATTGATTTACATTCACAAATATTAATTTTGCAGTGTAGCAGAAGGCAAAATATTTTGTTTGTAATAGAAATATGCTTTTCTGAATATTTACTGTAGTATGTATTCATTGGGGTAGGTTTACACCTGAATCAGTATTTAAGACTTCTGGTGCAAGACATTTATTAGCTAATAATAAGCTTCTAATTTATAGCAGTCAGTGTCTGGATACTTTTCAGAATGTCATAATTCTGAATGGCACAACCATCAGTGTGATACAGAAAGGGGTATGTGTGGAAATAAAGAGATAGGACTTTCTGCACATTGAACAAATACTTCCTCTTATTCACAACTGAACCCCTTTCATTTAAATTTCTGTGAACATCATAAAAAGGCAGTAATAGTGAATTGCCTACCTTTGGATGATGTTGTCATGCATTCTCCTAACCTTATGCACTAACTAGACTTTCTGAAAGCTGACATCATAACGTGGCATTTTAAAAATACAGTTTCTGTCTTTCAACACAATTGCAGTAAATGTAGCTTGTGTTGCTCTGGTGATAATAATATTTTAATAAAACTAGACAGATAGTCCTCTACTTATGAACTTTCAAGTTACGAACTTTCGTCGATATGAAGAAACTGGTCTACAGCTCCAACCTAGAAGGTCCCAGAATTTGGGAGAAGGTAGGAAAGGGTTAGTTTACAATGGGTCACATACATACGCTTGGCAGCACTGTTGCACGCTGGGAGGCTGAGTTTTATACTTGGTTGAACTTACAAACAAAATGGACCTACAAACAGCTTTTTGGAACATAACCTGTTCATAAGTAGAGGAATGTCTGTATTCAGAGCTATGTAATAATAAATAAATGCAGAAATATCTATTAAATAATCCATGCCAGTATAGTTCAGTGGCACAGGGCATGTTTATGAGAAGTGTATTAAGTCCTTTACTGTTTCAGATAAAGCTAAGAAAGTTTCTCCTCTGAAAAACAATTGTGTCTCAGTGTAAACAGAAATACATTAAATGAACTAATTTATTCTGTGCTCATAATGACTTTAACTGGATAAGGCTTAGTTAGATTTTTTTAGCTTATTTTTCTAAGGACAGAATAATTGATATTAGTGTTGAGCAGCTTCCCTAATTTTGATTCCTTGTAGGACTACAAATCTTTACTTTGCAGAAACGTGTCAGCTTATCATTGAACCTTCTCTTTGCTTTTTTTCCTAGGAGAGTACAGCTTTAACTTCATGGATACATAATGTAAACATTAAAACAGCACTAATCTATACACACACACACTTTTAATAAGTCACATACATCCAGTATCACTGAATGTATGGGTGTATACATGTATGGGCACGTAGAAGGAGGGAGGATATTACTTAAACATATCTATTAGCTAATATTACAGCGTGTTTTTTCTGTTTGGTGTGGCGAATATTCTGGTAATACAGTATTATGGCCTGTAGATTTCTGTCAGTCTACCAAGCTGCTAGAGTGTAAATGATCTGCAAAAGCTTTCATATTACTTGAGCCACAGGCAACAAACATGTAATGTTTGCTCCTACTATCAGTTTTCTCAATGCATGTACTGTACTTGATTTGTAAATTATGGTACTTAACATGTTGATTTGGAGCACACTGTTGGTTTCTTGACACTATAAACATTGAACTGGAGTTCTAATGCATGTTGGTTGTCTGGGGAAAAAAGAGATGCAGTGCTTTCACATCACGCTTCTGCTCTGCATCAGCCTGCTGGACCTCTTCAACCAAGCAAATCTAGAAGGAATGTGATGTTACATTTACGCCATTGCATCTATGCAAATGTAAAGTGAGAACAGAAGCTGAAATTATTTGGGTGATTTTTTAAAACTTGTTTTCTGGATACTATTACATAGAGCAGATAAAGTTTCTTTTTAAGCATTGCTGTAAGAAAATTTGTAACTGAAGTTATCAGTGATTATTCATAGTAATATTAGTGTACATCATAATTTTCAGAGCCGTTTGCTTTAATAGGCAACAAATCTTTCTGTTATTTTGTTTGGAATTCAAAATATTGCCTGCTGGTATATCTACCAAACTGAATGTCTTCATTAAAAAAAGTGCCTCTGTGAAACTCATATGAGTAATTTTAATGAAAATAAATAAGAATAGTACATGTAATGCTTATTAAGAATTATAAATCCTTTTTTTCTCCTAGATATTCCAAGAAGAAATTTGGTTTAGCTTCTCAAAAAAGCACATTTAAGAAAATATCAGTATATCTATATATCTATTTATTTATATGTGTACTATTTTTTTAACAGGGAATCAAAGCACGTATTTTGGAAACCCTTGTTATGCTCATTCTTCTTGCGCTGCTTATCCTTGGAATAGTGTGGGTAGCTTCAGCTCTCATAGACAATGATGCTGCAAGTATGGAGTCTTTGTATGGTATGGAGGTCTTTTCTGTGTTCTTTTTTTCAAAGAAAAGGTAGCTGAGTGGCCATTAGACAAAACAGATCTGTATCTTTCATAGGCTAATTTAAGTTATAAGCTTTTTAAATATAAAAGTTTCAATTTATTCCCACCTTGTGTTTCACCTAAGGATGGAGTTGGGTTTGAGGGATAACGGTAACTGTTTATTTGTTTCTTCATCCCAGAACCAGACTAAAAATATCATAAATTAAAAAAAATAATGTAGATAAGACTAATTAAAAGGTTCTAATCCAACTAAGGACAAAAGAAGTGCCGTGGTTTTGGTCAGAATTTCGGATTGGGTCTACTGGATGATCTGTGTTTCTGAGATAAATTTGTTCTCTAATCTTTTAAAAACGTTGATTGAAGTGACACTGATTGCCTTTAATCAATTGTATTCTTGTTAAAATGCTCATGTATGTAGTTGCATATTTAAGGCCAGTACACAAGAGTATTCTTTTTCATACCTTCATGTATATTAGATAAAATAATGTAGTAACGGTGTTACATTTTTTAATTTCAGATCTTTGGGAATTCTACCTCCCTTATTTATATTCCTGTATATCATTGATGGGATGTTTGTTACTTCTACGTAAGTTTTTCATGCATATATTAGAAATAATGTTTAATAAGGCTTTTTGACCTTTCAGTTCAGATGTCAGATGCTTGTCATTTTCTGTATGAATACAGGTGGACCGTTCGTTTAGTGACTGTTCAAAATTACAACGCTGAAAAAAGCGACTTACGACTGGTCCTTGCACTTAGAATTGTTGCAGTGTCCCAGGGTCATGTGATCAAAATTTGGGTCCCTGGCAGCTGGCATGAGCACAGAAGCATTTATGGTTAGAGCTTTACAAGGGTTGCAGCATCCTGGGGTCGTGTCATCACCATTTGCAACCTTCCCAGCTGGCTTCCGACAAGCAAAACCAATAGTGTGATTCGCTTAATGACCATGTGATTCACTTAACTACCACATGATTTGCTCAATGACCACTGCAAAAAATGTAAAATCAGGTGCAGTCATGTGACGCCTCATTTAACGACATATTTTCCAGTCCTTACGTGGTTGTAAGTTGAGGACTACCTGTATCCTATATTCAGTATTAGCACTGCGCAAAGCATTTGAAAGAGGTACTTTGTAAAAGCCTCTCTACAAATTGCTAAAAAAACGGTGTTCTTTGGCAGAATTAATTGGTTTGAAGGCTGTTCCTAATTGCCTGCATGTCTGTGTGCATACATAGTCATTTTGTTGGTGGCTATGCATGCAGGATTGGTCAGTGAAGGCACACATACATGCAGACCACCAGAGAAAGCTTTTGAGGCAGTTGAACAAGTCTTCTAAGGGATGCAGCTGTTTTAAGACTTCACAGAGAGGTTCTTTGCATGCACTGCCATACTTTCAAACCACATCTTTCAAGTATCTGGCATAGCCCTATAAAACTTGGGTTTTATAAAATGTATTGCTTTAGCTGTTACTGATAAAAGTATTTATATTCTTTTAAAATAGTTAACTCATTACTTCCAGAGTTTCAAAAATTCCTTGGAACATAATGATGTGAAGCAGCTAATAATTCACCTAGCTTCATATGATTCATGGTGAGTTTAAATACTCATATCCTTCCTTCAGGCCATAATGGTAAACTTGGTAGCTAACAATCAATCATAAAATAAGTTGCACAAAAAAGCAGCACAGTCAAGCTGCCTTAAAAAACAACAACAACCCTAAATGAAGCACCAACAATAAATAAAGTAAGAAGCAGGAGTAACATTTAAGTTGCTGTCCAGCCCAAATGTATGCTGGACCAATAACATCTTCATGAAATCCTGAACACCAAAGAAGCCAATATTAATCATCACAGACAGATGCCTGTGTAGCCTCCAGCTGAAGGTCTGCAGCAAAGAGGAGCCTAACACTTCACCGGGTCATTGGTTCCACTATTGAACCACTGTTACCATTAGGAAGTTTTTTCTTATATTTCATAGAGATTATTTGGAATCTCTCTTCCTGTAACTTAAATCCATTATTCTGTGTTCTGTCCTCTGGAACAAGAAAGGACAGATTTTGACCTTCTTAGCAGTGTTTCTTAAAGTGTGGTCCGAGGACTCCTGGGGGTCCCCCAAGACCTTCTCACGGGTCTGTGAAATCAAAATTATTTGCTAGATATTGAAGATACTTGCAAAAATTTAAAACAATGTCACTTTTCTCTCTATTATATTTTATTTGTTAAAAAATATAGTTTTCTTTCATGAAAAATATTTATGTTAATATCTAAGGGTTTAATATTGTTATTTTACATAATTCAATAAATAAATATTCTATGAATGCATCAATTTTAATTTTTAATATGAATCTCAATAAATATAATCCATACAAACAAAATTTAAATTTTTGCAAATATCTTCTAAAAATTACGAAGGGCTGCAAAAGAACTTTTGTTTGTATGGATTATATTTATTGAGATTCACCATATTAAAAATTTAAATTGATGCATTTGTAGAGTATTTGTTGAATCATGTAAAATAACAATATTAAACCCTTAGATATTAACATAAATAAAATATTTTTCATGAAAAAAACTATTTTTTAACAAAATATAATAATGGGAAGAGTAACAAAAGCTCTTTTGGGGTCCTTCATAATTTTTAAAAATGGGAAGGGGTCCTGAGAGTAAAAGGTTTAAGAAATATTGTTCTATAGATAGCAACATTTCATGTTTTTAAAGAGTGCTAGCTTATCCCCTCCCTCAGTCATTTCTTCTCAAGCCTAACCATGTCCCTCTTTCCATGTCCCTTTAATCAGATAGGTACTAAGTATTATAGACACCAAGATGTAACATTATAATACTTAGATCAAAATATAGAAATTCTGATTTATACTTAACACCAAACCTACAAAAAGTATGAAATAAGAAATACAGTATAGAATGTAAGATAATACAGTGATAAACTAACATTAAATAATTTTAATTTACAACAATGAATATGTAAAAATATGGGAATTGTCTTTTGTAAGCTATCAATTCCTGATAGATTTTATACACTGCAGCACAATAATGGTAACTTCCTATGTTATGGGGAGATTAATAAATGGACATAGGCTTGATCTGTGCAAAGTGGCAACATTTTCAGTATAGGGAAAAAAAGAGCACTTCAGATATCTCTGTAAAATGAACACTGAAGAATTATATGTTTGATAGATTGAACTTGCCCAGATTCATAAAGACATAATTGAATAGTTTCAAGTTTGAGAACTTCCTGTATTTTTCCCAGTGTTCGGGTATGAGTTGTTTAAAATCTCCAAGTTTTTTTATATCATATTTTTGTGAGGTACTTTTTAACTAGAAATCCAGAGAACTGACCTTTCCATGTAGAAATTATATCGTGTGTTATGTATCAACTGATACAACTACTGTGTTACAAATATTGCATGGTCAAATAGTTAAACACTGCTTTTTTTAAAAAGTTCAGTACCCTGAATTTAAAATAGGTTCCTATTTAGCATGAGAAGCTGCTGTTTTCAAGAGGATTGGAAGTTCCAGTAAGCAAATGAAGTTAGTTGCGTCATCAAGATTGTATGAATTGAGCTTCCAATATCTTTTTTATATTATTTGGCATTGTTTAGTTTTTGCATTTGAAAACTGAGGTGAATGAAGTTATTTGTCCTACCACAGGGGAAACTGCTTTCATCTTATCATTGACCAATATATAATGACATCTTAGTCTGTCATTTACCTTTTTCCTGGAACTATTTTATAGAATATGCTGTAAGACAATATACTGGGTTTGGTAAAAATTTAAATTAGATGTAGAGCATAAGGCTGAATTAATCTTCCTAATTATAGCTGTGTATTTAAGATACTAATTCAACTTATTCAGGAAGATCTGAGGTGTTTGGGTTGTTTTTTTTTTTTTAACTTTTTAATAAGGATATTGGAACTTTGAGTAATGAATCAAAGATGATAGATAATATGTGTCTTCCTCTACAGTTTGTACACCAGTAGGACTTTCCCGCATGTTTACAGTGATTGGACAATTGCTTGTAAAGCCAACAGTAAGTATTGTTAATGTTAACTTGTTATCTGACATATGTTCCCTCACTGTTTAGGGAACAGGTATTACAAAGCAAAGTCTTTTTTCCATTCCCCCCCCCCCATTAGCATTGTCTCAACTTCAGATGAGTATTGTTTAAACAGGGAAGTCTGTAACTTTAGACAAATGAAGACCAATTCACATTTGTCTTACATGTATCCTATTTCTTTGTAAATAGTTCTCTTTCTCTCTCATTCATAGTAAATTTTGTGCAGTTTCCAAATATTTTATCTGATATGGTATCTGTATATCTGAACTTAGATTCTTGAAGACTTGGATGAGCAGATATATATCATCACTCTGGAGGAAGAAGCTATAATGAGAAGGTTAAGTGGTAAGTATGTTTGATACAGCTTGACTTTTGTATTGTATTTAGGTGTGATGGGAGTTGCGGCCCAGCATTTACAGAGAATGCTAGTTTCAGGAATCCTGGCATATGGATATTCTCCTTCTCAGCTTGTGTGTGTAATGACTGATTGTGGCCCAGGAGTTTTTGTATTATGTTGAATTCTCTTACAATTAAATATTCTAAAAAGTTGTAATCTAATAGAAATAAATAACCAAGAAATGATACTGGTTGTACAGAAATCATAGGCAATGTTGGTCATCTGTTAACTTTTACTAAGACTTTTTGCAAGTCTTAGTGGAAAATAAATGCAGTATTATGCATTGAATCATAACGAATTGTGAAAAGGTTTGATCTATAGCTTGCCCATATGCAGTCAAACCATTCAGCTTGACTAAGCTAAAAACAGAATTCTGCAAACGGTAATTAATGTATTCTATAGATTAAAGTAATTATAGACCCACTGGTAAAATTTAAAATTACAATTCTGCAGCAACTTTTGGAGGTGCTCTGGAGACCACAGATTATGCAGAATGATGCCATAGGATATAATCTCTTTTGTTTATATGCCCTGAGAATTAAAAAAAGAAGAGAGTTATATAAGATCAAACTGGAAACATGTCACAGATGTTAAATCACACTTTGGCAGGAACTCAGATTTTACTATAAATAAAGGGCCATGGGACCCCCTCCTTTTGAGAAGTAGGAGAAATGTTGTAAGTAATTTTCATACTTCTCTAGGAGGTAAATTAGAATCCAGGCTAGTTCGGTATTGTATTAATAGGAATCAAACTGCAAAAACCTGAATTACAATTAACTGCGTTTTTTTAAAGTTCTTGCTTTTTAAAGATAGTATAAAGAATTAAGAAAGTGTGTACTTTTGAACTTCACATTTCATATAATTTTATTGGCACAGGAAGTTTGGGGTAGAAAAGTTATCCCTGCAGTGGTTAGTCTGCATAAATTGTTTTGTTATTAAAGAAATGGGAGAGAAAAAGTGTTTCTTCCGTATTGTATTTCAATACCCACGTCATTCGTGCACAAAAAGAATAAAGCTAAAACTCTCTTTATATTAAAAAGGGAAAGTTGCTTTTAGCTATTAGTTTTCCTGAATCCCAGGAGACGGGTGGAGCAGGATCAAAAATACTTATTTGATCAAAGTTATTAGCTCTGAAGGTATTCTAACCTATGTAAGAAAGATGAAAGGTGTTGTTTTTATTGCGCACTAGTAACAGTGTAATTTTGAACTAATTGGTGTTGAACTGCCAATCACCTACAGGGAATGCAAATAGATACTCCTACAATTTCCTTTGAGGTACTGAAATATTATGTTGGGGCTGGAAGAAAAACAAAATAATACTGTTAAATTGACCTTGAATGAGCTGCTTTGTGGTTTTCTTGGAGAATCCCTTCTAATTTTTCATGACTAGTCTGAACAAGTTCTGTCTACCAGTTTGATTTATTGGCTAGACAATGCAGACATTAAACTTTTGTGCTTGTTTGAAATAAAGTTGAGAGGCCATAGTGCTTTGAATAGCTTGCATTCAATAGTTTGTTCCGTCTTTCTGAGATCTGATTTGATTGCTCTAAAATGTTGCTTCACTCCTTGGAAATTTACCAGGATTAGTTTTATCCCACTATCATCTTGGAGTATGTTGTAAGGGTTGTCATTTCTTTGTCAGTGTAGATTTTAAGGATCTGATGTATTTCCCATATAAATGGTGAATATGTTAATTTAGGGCAGATGCAAACTATGAGCAGCTAAATACTTGTATTCAGGATATATAAAAGGATTAATTTAGTTACTGAGGAAAAAAGTAATTTTTTTTAGGTTTGTTTGAGATTTCAAAGTTTTTTAATTAAATGAACATTGCTTAAAAAATCCTGACTGCCTTTCCCCGCATATCAAACAAAACCACTTTCTTTTTCCCACACCTTTCTTTCATCTCAGAAATTGTGTTCTAATGGGAGTGAAAACTGCCATTTATACCTTACAGGGACAATTTCTTTAGAAAAGAATATCTGTAGCTCTGGGTTGAACTGTGGAGTCCTTGATGCTCTCTGAGCTTGGTTGTTTGCTTGCAGACATTTCATTACCCAACTAGGTAACATCATCAGTGCACCTTGAATCAGTGCATGAGTGCACTGATGATGGTACTTACTTGGGTAATGAGACGTCTGCAAGCAAACAACCAAGTTCAAAGAGCACCAAGCACTCCACGTTTTCCTTAACTTAATGAGTTGTTCTTATAGTCCTATTGTAGTTAGCAAAATGGTTGTGCACTATTGGTAGAATATTTTAATAGAGAAGTTTTGGTGACAGTACTTTTGTTCTGGCACAGGAGTATTTTCCACGGTGGAATATAATACAAAACAACTCGAACAGGAGCTGAATAATGTGAAGAGCATGAAAACAAAATTGGGTAATTGCCTCATTGTTTTTGTTTGGTATCCACTGTGCTTCAGTTTGGAATAAAATGTCTTTCTTTTTCTTTTTTCTTTTGGGAGGTATCAGAAAAATATTACCTACTGTTCTTACAAAGACTGCTTTAGTGTATATTGGAGAAAATCCAGTTCGTGTAATACTTTGACAATTCCAGAGTGGCGGCCCCTCAAGGTAGACCGGATCAGAAACAGATTCCACAAGAAGACTAGAACTAGAACTCTACTTTGTTAATATAGCCTATCTCAGTAAAGTCTTGCAAATCTGTGTCTTCTCTTCCCTCCCACTTATACCCAAGGGAGCCAGGGACTTTTTTCTCTAATGGCCTTTGGATTCCTTCTCCAAGATGTCTTAATAGCTCTCTACATCAGTATATTGTTCTTATTTTGAGTTCTGTTTCCTTAATTTTTTTTTTTAATCAGCATCCTGTCTGATGGTTGGTGGAACCTGTGATAAAATCAGGTTAAGACTATAGGAAGAGCCATGTCATGAAACATCAAAGACCTGTCTAAGCTGGCATCCTGTGTCTCATATTAGCCAACCAGAAGACTTTAAGAAGGCCACGCATCAGGGCAAAGCTTTTGTTTTTGTTGGTTTTCTCCTACAATCTGGAATTTAGAGACATGATGCTTCTAATACTAGTAGATACTTACAAGCTTATCTTTCACAAATTAGTGTAATCCCCCTTTTAGTCACTAGCCACCTCAACCTATAATTGGCCCCAACCTTGCTGGCCTTCTGGAAGGGCCTGAAGCCATGGCTTTGCCATCTGGCCTGGGGATCTGGGAATATGGGTATGGAACCTGTAAGGTGGCATTATTACTAGGGAAATGGAGTATGCTGTCCTGCAGATTATGTTTTTTTAATGTTTTTGTTATTGTTTTAAATGTTTTTTTAAATGATTTTTGTTATATTTAGTTGTATTGTTTTTTGTTTTGTAACTTTGTACATCGCTCAGAGTCATATATGTGAGACGGGTGGCTATATAAATTTACCAAATAAATAAATAATAGCAAATTCACACATTAGGCAATGTATGAAGAAGTGCTTTCTTTAACTGGACCTGAATTTCCCACCACTTGACTTGAGTGGTTGAACATAGGCTTTAATATGATAGAACAGGAAAAAAGATGCTCTTAACCCACTTGGAGTTTTGTTCATATTTGCATTAAAGTGTTAGTTGTTTAATGTTTAGCTGATTTTGCAAGGAAGAATTCTTCTGAAAAGTTATATTTAAAAATAAATTTTATAAATCAATCGTGTTGGGATATTGGCTTTTTTCATGCTATCTTTTTGCTATACCATACCTCCATTTGTAAATAAAGTAAGTCAGAGTAGAAGAAATTCACTGTGCTGTAATAAAGTAAGTCAGAGTAGAAGAAATTCACTGTGCTGTATTTGTTGCTGAAATATCCCATTTCTGACTCCAACCCAGGGGATCAGATCTTTGAAAACTTCTCCACTTAAAGTACT